GGCCGGTCAGGGCCGTAATTTGTTTCTTTAAGGACTTACTCCATGAATGAGGCAGGAAATCACATTAGTCTGAGAGTGTTTGTGTTTGCGGGAGGAGAATCCAGACTGACAGCTTCCCTCAACATTCAGATACAGAACAGCAACAAAACAAAACAAAATAAATAACTGTCTTTTGCATAAAGTTAGTGAAGACTATCTTAAGACCTAGAAGACTTTTGTTGCATTGAGACATTAGTTTCATAGCAATTACTTTAAAACTTCTTGTGATGTAATGAAACCGATATCTCTGAATGCTTGTTTCCACCACAGAAAAATAATAATAATAAAAAGGAAATTGCGACTTTTTATCTCACAATTTATATTTAGAGTTTATATCTCATAATTTGGACTGTTTTCTCAGAATTGTAGTTTACAATTTAGTTGTTTTTATTACTACCACAGAATTTTAAAAAAAATAATTAAAAAGGGAATTGAAACTTTTTGGTCTTACACATCTTTTTTTCACGCAATTCTGAGTTTATATCACACAATTTAAATCTCAGATTTACAAGAAAAACAAATATGAATTGTGAGATTGTCACAATTACCTTTTTTTATTTTTTATTCGATATAAGCTTACATAGTGATCACATTCTCATTACTGTAATAAAAAATTATGGTAATTTGTACAGATTTGTCATGTTAGTATTTGTATGTACTATTCGTATTTTTTTGTTCTAAGAATTTGTTGTTAAATGTCATAAAAATATAAAATACATTTTAAATTTTTATCAATGTGCAAATCATAAAAATAAGCTTCTTTATGAAAAATATAATTTAAATTTATACATTTAGCAGATGCTTCCAAAGTGACTTACAATAGAGGAACAAAAGCAATTCATCACAGAGCTAACAATATTCATGCAGTTTTTTTGGGTGGGGGTATGTTCTTGATGTTTCATTATAGATTCAGCATGAATTATTTAAATTGTATTTAGAAATAATGGTAGTATTTATAGTTCTGCTTTCAGTAAAATCACTGTATTACAATTGTCATGCATAAAAAAATGCTTCATTAATTTCCAAAATTTGTGATTTTGGGCTGAAATATGAGCTGGCTGTATTCTTTCATGAGTCCGATCA